CCAATTAGACAATCCGAAGGCGTAGGGGGGCAAGGCGCATCCTGGTGAGATTATCCGGCGTCGCTGACTTGATGGGGATACCGGGCGGTACTTAGCGAAGCTTGGACAAGCCTACCTGTGAGGAAGTGTAAATTTCTGTGATAGAACTGGCTCATTCGCCTTACCGTCACAGATTCACAAGGGTTTACAGGTTTCATCGAAGTCAGACTTGTTAGGTAATGAGATGGAATAAGCAAAGGTGTAAAATGCCTCCTCCAAGCCGAAGGATGCCGATTTTTTGTTTACAGACCTCCCCTAGTATTTTTTCCTCCGGTACGACCCGATCCACAGACCTTGGTCATCTTAAAAAAAACTTCCCCAAAAGTTTACCGCTAAGCGACTTGGGGGGTAAGGTTAGACACCTCCGACCAGCTATCGGGATGATAGTTTTGCTGCAACGAGGAGTGGAATGTAGGGTGCATAGCACGCGTGAAACGGGAAAAGTCAACCATTAAGAGAAATAAATTCTCCAGCTACCCACCCTCGAGCGACCTAATATGACCTCCTTTGGGATCGTGAACGTGTTAGGTGCCCTGATACGCTACGCACCCGTCTTTCTCACCAGCGGTGCAATCACTAGTAGCTGCGACGTCGGAGTTCCAGGGCATGAAAAGCGTAAGGCAGGCGTTTAGACATCTCGATGACGCGCGTCAACACGGTATAATTACAGCGGTCGATAGATGCGAACGCCGCCGCAGACGGCCAGTGCTAATCAATACCAGACGCAATTGCGTGACGAGGCAGCACCTACCCCAAACTTTTTGGAAACACAAGCGGCCAACGCGCGGCTGCTGTACTTGTAGCGCGTTATCGCGAAGTCTGTATGCTGTCTCACTTCCTTGTCGCGGCATCGCCTCTACTAGAACAACTCCTCAACTGTTTGACTGGATAAACATAGACACAGAGAAAGCTACTCGAACTGAGAGACGGAGAGGCAGAAACAGCCAAAAGTCAAGGCACTGCAATAGTGTAAGAGTGGATGCGCAGAAGTTTGGTGGCTGAAGCAGCGAAACTTATACTGAATTCGAGCGGAGACGAGGCTTGATGATGGGCGATATGGGAATTTTTCCGTTAATTTGAAAATCGTATTTAGACGAACAGACAGGACAACTTGTCCGTCGCGGCATATTACGATTGTCTTGTCACATATCTGCGACGAGCATCGTTGCGCACGGCGTGTAACGCGGCGAAGCGCGCCGAATACTCGATCAGTTTGTTGACTGGAGCGGTGAAACTTGTATGAATTCGTCAGGAGACGGGACTCAACGATATCAAGTGTTTCCATCCCTTTAACACCCAAATTTCAAGGGTCAGGCGGGACAACTCGCCTGTCCGGCGCGACGTCGCTCGCCACACCCACCAACGCGGCATATTATAGTAGTCATGGCACCCTGGAAATGCTCAACAGGATGACAGAGGAGGTGGTAGGGGCGCCAGCGAGAGTGTTTTCCGTTTGCTGAGGAGTTTGTAGCATTAATGTGAACGGTAGGATGGGGATCAGTGAGAAGGCCAGAAATTTTTTATCGTTTTCAGTTTACTACAGCACCTGGCTGATGGATTTTCTTTTCAGGAAAAGCTAGGAACACTAGTAGAACTCGTAATTTTTTATGACTTGCACTGAAAGTCAAACTGGTGTTCCCTATCAGAGTGAGGTCGTGTGGACAGATTTCCAACCCTAAAGTGCGGTCTCCCTCCACCTCTTCACAGATGGCAGGAAAAATACGAGGGCGTCCGACTAATGGTCAGAAATGGTAAAACCACGGTCCAGTGAAGCGGAAGGGGTCTATCAGACTAAATTCTCCCCCCCCCCCCCACTTCTCCAGCGAGATCCGTTGGTGCAGAATCTCAAAGGTAAGGCACAAGCTTGCCTGCCACCATCCTTTCTGTCACTCGATTGCGTGCTATATCGCCGCTCTTGTCTGGCCTCTAGCCCAAGAACCACATAAATTTTTTTTCTCTTGCTTACCACAGGTGAAGCCTGATTTCGAGCGTCTTCGACTCTTCATTCGGCTTGTTTTTTTTTTCACGAGCGAGTCAGTGTACAGTTCTATTTTCAACACCGATACCAGCGAACTTCTAATCGGCTCATCGCGACTGCCATTAAAGACACATGGTATGATCACACATAGTTTGGGTGTGTGTGACTATCAGCCCCCCAGCTGTCGAAGCGTAGCGGTTTCCCCGTCCTAACATGCGCAGGAATGGAGATACAGGACCGTGAAACACGCTAATTCCTCCATGCTCCGCCTTACACCTTTTTGCGGCGCAGATTCCCGTCCATGCTAACATCCGTCGTAAGCGCGCGTGTCGCCTGCGGCTTCTTGGCACTTTGCCAAGTCCTTTAATTGCGCTTTGGAATACAAGTAAAACGCAATTTCCTGATGCGGATAACATTTAGGTGCTGCAAAATAAGAACCGAAGATGATGACGAGGGCTAGAACTCAAGAGCAACTGTGCTGCTTCTGCAATATCCCTCAGAGGCCGCGCATTCCCACAGAACATGACAATAAAAACGGCCTAAGCGTCCCACGTTAGTTTAATACAAGCAAAACGCAATTTCCTGATGCGAATAACATTTGAGGTGTTGCTCATGCTTCAAAGTCCGAATAGAAGGTGATGAAGATGACAAAGGCTAGAAATGAAGAACAACGAATGTAGATGTAAATAAAACAAAATTGAAAAAACTAAGGAAACGCAATAAATCAAAATCGCGTGTAATTTCTGCGATCCGGCGCGAATTCGGCTCCAAAACCATTACTTTAAACTTACGAGAGGGGCGCTTGGACCGTTTTTATTGTCATGTTCTGTGGGAATGCGCGGCCTTCTGAGGGATATTGCAGAAGCAGCACAGTTGCTCTTGAGTTCTGGCCCTCGTCATCTTCGGTTCTTATTTTGCAGCACCTAAATGTTATCCGCATCAGGAAATTGCGTTTTACTTGTATTTCAAAGCGCAATTAAAGGACTTGGCAAAGTGCCAAGGAGCCGCACGCGACACGCGCGCTTACGACGGATGTTAGCATGACGGGAATCTGCGCCGCAAAAAGGTATAAGGCGGAGCATGGAGGAATTAGCGTGTTTCACGGTCCTGTATCTCCATTCCTGCGCATGTTAGGACGGGGAAACCGCTACGCTTCGACAGCTGGGGGGCTGATAGTCACACACCCAAACTATGTGTGATCGTACCATGTGTCTTTAAGCATATGGCTTGTGATATTTTGCCCTTTGTTCGCCGCGGATAACACCCTTGACATTGAGTCCAGTGTCCGCGAGTTCGTTCTTACCGGGACCTACGTTTTGAAAGAAATTCAGTTGTGTACTGTAGGCCTCTAAAGAAACGGCTGAATGGGAAGCCGCTCTCATTTAAAGGACGCTCTCTTCGCGAGTTTCGGGGCATAAGCTTGACATGGTCCATGTATCCTCCTGTGTCCTTTGTAGTTCTGAAAAAAGACTCCCTGCTTAGAGATAGTCAGACTCCTTCAGCATGAGTATCGCATGAGCAAATAATCCTGTTTTCTGCGCCGTACGCCACTTTTTGCAACAGCACTTTTCCCACGGAAAGTACCTCGTCATGTCCAGCAAAGGTAATATTCGTGTTTATGGGGACACCCACTCCTTGGAACAAGTGTCCAACAAGTTTGATGTCTTGGGATGGTTTCGCGCCGGCGCCTCGCGCCAATGAGCCAAGCGAATGTGATATTCGTGTTCAGAGCGTCAAACTAGCCCTAGCCTGGGGGCAAAATTATAGCAAAATCTACTTCCAAAAGAATATCGCGCTTAAAATCATTCCTGAGCTTCGAAGAATGCCGGAAACAGTGACCCCTGGACACCAGGGCCAGTTTGGGCCAAACACTCATTCAAATGTCGCAACGAGAGCAAGCTAAAGTAGGGTGCGAGGCAGATCCCACAAAGAGGTTCAGTAACGTCGAGCAGCTACGGACCGGAAAAAGAGAGGAACGACCGGAGCATTTGCACAACCGATTCTCAGCTCCACTATGACAAAAAATGGAACTAGCAATCGAAGCAAGCGAGCTCACTTTCATTTTATACGGATATTCACCTTTTCCCGGTCGCTACAAAGGGGGGCATGACAGATAGCTCCGGAGATGAACAGGTACACGGCACTGAGAGGGTCCATAGGCGAAGGTTTCATTTAAAAAAAGCTTACCCATATAAGTACCAATCAGATACATTACGTCTTTACATTCAGTGAAATCGATCATGGCCGAGCGACATGCGTGATCAATCGATATCCTACTCTTAACCATAGTCACGCCCGGTGCTGTGAAGAGCTCATACAAGAACGTGTAGCAACTAATTGTCCACGACAAGAGTTCCACGGGCTTTGTTGCTCCAGCCAGATGACCACCTCGAGCTCGTCCCTACAAGCTCCAGGTAGCCGGAACGGCTTTCTAAATTTTCCGATTGTAGTGGACTATGAATTTCCGGTGCCCCTTAGACACCTACAACGGCGATCCTTCCATATACAGTCTCCGCGTCTGGGTCCAGAACAAAGGGGGTTGGGGGAGGCCACGTAGCGGAACGACTGCTTCACGTTGTTTGTTGCCTATTTTGTTGTGACGCAATGAGAAGCCTTGGCATGGGTATGTGCTCCAGCTTCGCACGAAATGAGAGAGCGCAGGCAAGTGGAAACGATGAGGACATAGTCGCGTCACCATGTGACCCTCCCCAGCTACATCACAAGCGCTCTGTGTATCGATATCGATTTTACGCTCGTAAAAATTTGATCCAGTGTCTATATTAAGTAGACAAAGGTGTTACGGCAGTTGTCTGAGCGTCTTGTATACAAACTCGTGAACATAAATATTTATTACAAATCTTTATACAGGTAATAGTTAGTGGAAGTTAGTTTTCTTTCGAAAATCTAGCGACGGCCGTGCAGATCAGCAATGACATTTGGTCCATACATTATGGGCTACACTGTCACCAATGTAGGCATCAATTTAATTGAGAAGATGGGCCACCAACATACCGACACCGAGACCAATTGGGATAGTAATCGACTGAACACCTTTCTTTTTTTTATTGTCCCCTTTATGCTGAGCCTGAGGAGTCGGTGGCGAAGGTTCAGTCACCTCCTTTGTGTCATGTTCTGTTGGTTCCGTTGCTTCGGTGCTAGCCTGTGAAGCGACAGAGCCAGCCTCTGAAGCAGCAGAGCTTGCCGCAGTGGAATCACTCCCAGCTGCACTGGAATCACCTCCAGCTGCACTGGAACCAACTTGCAGCCGCTGTAGATCCCGCGGCACCGGCAGAAGCGGCCGTGGAGTCTTCTAGAGTGATAACCAGTAGTCCGCACAGGATATATACGAGTGCTGAAAGAGAAGTTCAAGAATTCTATCGAATCAGACCTGGAGTACGTGCCCAGCAGCCTTACTCTGGCTGGGCTAGAATCTGCCTAAATCACTCAGGTATGAATATGCTCCACATCGTCCAGGTTCACAGTTAGCTAGCCTTGAGAATGCCAGAATAGGGCCAGTAGTCAGAGATACGTAGAACAACTTACTCAGTTGAAGTCTGGACAGCTTCATGCTTGTCGAGGAATCGAGACGAAGGAGCGAGGTGTGTGTGAAGAATGAAACTGAAGAAAGTTGCTTATATATTGCGTCGTACAAAATGGAAACATGTTGGTGATAAGCGGCCTGATTTCAGTTCCATTGTAAACTCCTTTTGTTAGTTTTTCATTTCTTGATTTCAGAGCTTTGCGGAGGGTCGACTGTGGCTCAATACAGAGGCCCACAGTGGCAATGATTAGGGCCATGTCCTCAAACTACCTCTTTTCTCCGCTTGGGGAATTCTGGTGAGGTCTGCTCCTTATCAGTTGCCATTCAGGCTGCGCTCAAAGTCTGAATAACTTATTATTATGCGTAGATTCGTCGGGGTGCAGGTCTGTCTGCCCCCTGGCAGAATATCTGTCAATGGAAGCGGAGCGATAGGCCAAACGAGCGCTAACACAATTAGGAAGTGTTATCAGTTACGGTGTCACCGGTTTTTTTTCCGTCATTTTGTCAAGTTTGCTCTTTTGCTGCAGGAAAAGAGTAGAATGCCGCAGTTGTGCATCTCTTTCAAGACTTCTATTATAAAAGCAAGCGCTTTACAGATGCTACATGAATGACTGAAATTACAATTATCCAGGAGCATTCCTTTCATGAGATGTTCGGAACAAAACACCTTCTCACAGTGAGCATAGGAAGTGGAGAAAAACTTCATAACCGGTCTGCTGGGTTCTATCGATTCAGTATTGGGTTTCAAATGCAAGTGGATTTGAACTTTGTCGACTTGACACCCACTTCAAAAGTCGTTGGCATGATAATTAAATCCTCGGCCTGGAATGTTAGCAGGGGATGATGTATAGTGAGAAAATGGCGAAAAACGAAGTGAAACGGTCAAAAACCTGCGTCGGTCTTAATGACTCGAAAAGCGATTTCGGACGAGTTTTCCGTAGGTATCTTGCCAATACCCGCTACGGTGGATAAGCCGCACCTATGTACTCATGAATGCAGCACCGTAGCCGCTTCATATCCATCTCTTCGCTTCATATTGCTTCGCAAATGAAGCAATACGAGCATCAGGTACGGTCGTCCATTTGTGGGCGGGCGGGCGTGGTGGGCGTTCGGGTCGGTATGTTGTAGCTTGATAGGGCCTTATAAGGAGTACCTTCCTTGGGGAAAGCGCTACGCAGCGCCTGCTCAGGAGTCGCGGAATTCCGTCCAGCCAGGCGTATTAATCCTACACGTCTTAGGGATTTGTTGTGCCAACTGCCGTTGAGGCACTTGAATATTGACGAAGGGTCGACGGTTTTCAATAAAAGTAATGAGCTTCATTTACCCTTTACTGCCCCGATCATTCAGAATCGAGCCAGTTTTTAACCGACTTTCTTTCTCCCGGACAGATTTGGCTCAAATGTTGTCTCCTGGGGTAGTTTGACCTCCTGAATACGAATATCACATCCGCTCGGCCCGAAACTTCCTGGCGCCTGCGCCACAGGCGCCGGTGACTTAGGGTGTTTTGGCGCCAGGTCCTGTGTCGTGGCCCCAATAGATTTCGAGCCAAGTGGATGCGATATTCGTGTTCAGAAAATCAGACGACCTACGGGAACAAATTTTCAGCAAATTTGATGATTCAGGGTATTTTGGCGCTTTGCTGGCGTGGTTCCAGGCCGAGCGGGTGCGGTATCATGGTCACAAATTCAAACTAAAACTGCCCCAGGACGCAGATTTTTAGCTAATTCTACCTGCGGAGAAAGAAAAAACGGTCAAAAAATGGCCTGATTTCGTATGATTGTAAATAAACAAAACAGTAAATAGCAAATAATGCTATGTTTTGAAAAAGAAGTGCAACAGAAGAAGTGTCGACATTTTATTCTGCTCCTCTGCAAATGAGTGCAGGCTTGACAAAGTGACGGAAACTAATAAACGTACTTTCTGGGCTCGCAGAACATGTTCCGGGGAGAGCAAAAATGCGAACCTATCACGGAATCGAACTCCTGACTTGGCATCTATGAAGCGACTTACTTAGTCACTACACCATCGACACCTTGAGACGACAATCTCGCTTAAGCTAACACAATGTAGGATCGGCGAATGCTATGCTGGAGCCCCCCCCCCCTTAACTCCTAGAGAATGGTTCGGCAAATTCTGAGTGCAGGATCGAGTTCAGCATTCCAAGACGTACTGTATCCCATCTTGAATGGCCACGGCGACCTGTTGACCATTTCTGGTTAGTATCAGAACTATCCGCCCGTTTGGCCACATCAGCCAGGATCATTTGGACCATCCCACCTTTTGATGTGACTCATCGGACGATTCCTCGATTTATTTTTGTATCGCATCAGCTACAGTGCAGAAGGAACCACCATTGGGGTGGGAGAGGGGGAGGATTTATTGCCTGAGACTCCTGCCTTATTGAAAACCAGGCATAGGGCGAATTTATGATGGTCAATAACGTGACGCCGCCCGTTAGAAAAAGGTAATAGTGGACAGCAGCAAGTAAAATTAAGCAAGCGAGCAAAGACAGGTCCTCTGTTATGGTTTTCGTTAGAGAGTCAAGCGAAAATCACACTGATAGTGTGCAGTAGGCAGCGCGGTAAATGTTTTCAGTAACCGCTGAAGAACGTTTATTAACGCGTGACTCTTTTGCGTCATCAGAATGCTCGAAGTCGTTGAAGTAAACGAGTGAAGCTTTATCTGAGGACAAAGAGTGATAACGTAGCGGAGATACTGTGGTCATTTTTCTAGCGGAGCATTGGTAACAGGCACTACTTTAGCACTACTGACGCATGGTTAAACCTACAATAGTGGTCACTAACAGAATCTCTGTGCTTTCCCCTACACTTGGCCCAATTCCCATGTTTTGAAACACGGCCCATTTCATCTTTTTTTTCACCTCTCAAATGAGTGTTTTCCAATGTCTTGTGCTTACCACAGGGTAAAAACATTCGTTGGAAATAGGACAGATTAGCGGTTAAGAGTTTCTTTGATAACAGTACCGAACTCATAGTAAAATGTCCTTACATTCTAGCACTCCTTTTGATCAGCTTTCACATATCCGTCTGTTGTGGCTCTTATCATTCCTCAGTGGCGGAGAATTTTAGGCTTTGACTTTCTGCCGCTAGTGGAGAGTTTAGCGGTTGAATCAATCGCGCTAAAGGATAGAACATCTGGCTCACCGAGCCTTTGCCCATTGGTTCTTGAGCTACGGTGGTCAAATTCAGTAGCAAGCGGAGTGAATATGCGAATAGATGCAGACACTTGTCGAACACTAGAATTACCCTTTATCACCAATGCTCGCTAAACACCTCTTAATTGCTTGCTGGGAGCAGTTCTCCAATGCTACTGCAAGTGCACTGAATTTAGTGGGCTTCTTCTCTGATGTGGCCCCATGGTAACTAATCAGCTGTAATCTGTTTCTGCCCACTCACCAACAATGATACCTTCGCGCTCCCTATCTTACTTCTCGAAACCAATGTGCCGTCGTTGCTGTGGTTGGCGTTATGAATTTGGTGACCCACCTTCTAAGATTCGTGTCTAATCAGCTAGTGTTCCTGCTCGAGCCCTCTATCGCTGTTGCCAAGAAAGCTAGGAATTTCCGAGCAAGCACACATTCTGACAAATCTAGCGGATTACATATAACAGGATTCCTATTCTTTGTGTAGCTTATTCAACGGTTCTAGGCGATCGTTCGGTTTTTTTTTTCAAGAGAGCCAGTTGAAGCCGGGCTCATATGTAGGATGGGTGAGAACTCCGGCTGGTATCTAATAAATGAATATTAGACTACATGCAGAAGTTGAAGTGCCGTCTGTAGAGTAATAAATCTTAGCGGCTACGAATTTCGGAAGCCCTTCGTAGTATCTACCAACGCAACGCTAACTGGTGAACTGGAAGAGATGTTTGGCCTTCACTGCAACCCTAACCAATGGAACACAGTACAAGAGAAATTTGATCTTTACTGGATTTACGCTGACAAACTGGTGGTTTTCAATAAGAATCTTCATAACCGATTATGCAGTAACAATTCCAGCCTTGTGAAGCAGAGATCGCTTCTGTCGCCTTCGCACAGGACACACACCTGCAAAGACAGAATAAAATTGTGACAAGTTGAAATTCGCTGCAGAGATTAAATGGATTGTGTAGTTTGTCGAAAAGCGATCGTCATACCTGAGATGCGACATATCCAGCCCTTGAATTTTCGTACATCAGTGAAGAGGTTACGGTTGGGATATCCTTTTATTATTGGATAGTCTGCAAGTTAAAGGAAATTTTATTATATGAAAATATTACCCAGTAGCGCTCAAGTGCCTCATTCATTCGTTCATGAGCATTTCAAAATTTCCGATTTTCCCGTGCGCTATTTAGCTCTCATGTCGGATCGTGAGGCAGTAGCGTGTCCAGGTTAATGCTGGAGATCGGGAACGTCGAGGGTTGTTACTTTATGGGTTCTGATCGAGGTGATCAGAGACGTGAGAATTTGGTACAGACATGACAGAGGGATGGTCTGTTGAAGATGTCTCGATCGAGGATACAGTTCATTTCTTCTTGCTCTCACGAAACCAGCAGGTGCAGTGATGCACCCCTGATGTCAGCGCGCGCAACGTAGGTGGTGTGAAGTCACTAGCTCACGACAGAATCCCCCGTCTCTCACTATCGCGCTGTGTGTTCGGAACTAGTTCTGCCCTGCGAAACTTCTGTTCGCGACAGTAAAATATTTGGGTGGTTTTCCGGTGCTGCAATGCGGTGCTCAAGACAGACTACCAATGGGAAATCCCTATACCTTCCCGGCAAGCACCTTGGTCTGCAGTGACAAAGGTTGTACCACTCTGGTGGCATAAGAACCACTAACGACCGTGCTCATGCCGTCGTTCCTCACCTGGTCCAACCTACCTTCATTGAACTCACCCACCGTTTTTCCTAGCGATAGTAAGTAGAAGACCCGTGGAATAGCGTAGAGAAGGCATTGTTGCCAAGTGGTCGTGCAGCAGTTTCGCAACTGCATGCTTTGATGGCGGTCGATACTAGGAAAACATCTCCCCCTC